CACATACACTTCGGGGCAGGGAGCGTGTCATAGGCTACTTTTCGTTATCGATTGATATCGATTTTTATCGATTTCGCAGAGTTCGCCCAATGGGCTGGAAGTTGGCACAGAGGGGTAAGTGAGCATGGCGATTCCGAATACAATAATAGTTTTCATAATTATCGATTACTTTTATCGATTTTATCGATTTTTTGCAAAGTTTGAGTTACAGGGCTGGGAGATGGCACAGGGCGATAAGTGGGTATGGCGATTCCGAATACAACACAGGGAACGGGAAATGAAGTGTAGAAGTGGGCACAGGGAAAGGCTGTACAGGGATAGGGATGGGACCTTTATTACACTGTTTTGACAGGGCCGAGCGGATCCGGATAAGCAAGCTAGTAAGTTTATAAAACTTTTCACGTGATAGTTTGGAGTGATATTGTATACATATAGCCCAAACTCGGTGTCATATGATCGTTTGTGTGATGTAAACAAGCCATATGTTTGTTTGAGTCTTGCGTCTGAGATTCGTATGCTTGTGAAAGATCACGCTCAACTCGTAATATTTGACATGCTTATCCTTTTTTCTCAGCGCTTCGCCCAAGCCCTTATCGAAACTATCCCGGTTGCTTCTAACCTCAAAAACGAAGTCCAGTTTGACTCCGACCATCTGTGCTGGGCCCTGCCCACACTCCAGCTTGAAGTTTGCAAAAAATGAAAGTAAACAATAATTTCAAAGGCTAACATGCTCGTAATCAGCATTACATTTCGTTTAGCGGAGACAAATAGAAGATCTGACGCTTATCATTCAATGAATAAAAACATTTGAGAAACACAAAACTAACCTGGAAGAAGCTGAAGTCCTTGTTCGACTCCTTGTTGCCTTGGGGATGCAATCGAATGCGAAATGTTAGCATTGGTGGTTCTAATGTGGCAGCTGAGACACTCGGTGTAGGTGATGGCGTAGTAATGGGTATAGATGCAACCTGCTAAAACTACACAATCAAAGTTCAGCAAGGCAATTTGTGAACAAAAAGCCCCCAGATAGGGCATTCGAAAAATCGTGACGATGGCGCGACCGCACGCGACACGCACGCACTTCCCAGCAACCGCTTTTTTTGGTCCTCATCTCTACTCTCTCAGATATAAAAGCATTTAGACATTGCAAGTGACTGAGCTTAGAGTTGAGGCGATGCCTTTTTCTATGAGTGTTTTCTGCTCCTTTGGGCGCAAAGACCGCAGTCAAATCCGTAATCACGACTTTATAAACGACCTATATGAATTTGTTGATACTTTTTGATTCAAAGAGATTGGAGGCTGGAAGGAGGTGCTTTGAGGCCTGAAGGCTAGAGAATGATCAAAGAGCACGCTCGTCAAGGAAAGCAGACTACGTCGCTGGCGCGAGCGGTTGCGTTCCAGCCGCCACTCCCGTTGAATGAAAGGGTATTTGCACTGCTAGTCAACGCCTAACAATCGGTATCAAAAATTGAACGACGACTGGAATCGGTGTGGTATGAGTCAAGCACACAATCCAAAATTTTGGCGGAGAAGTGCATTCAGAATTGAGATTACCGTAGACTATGTAGAGATAAATCCAAGATTGTACTGGAAATGACAATTCACAATTCTTAGCCGAAAATGTTACGATGGACTTGAAGGCAGCGTCCAGGCAGATCTGGACCTATGGGGATTTTACGTGGAAAGTACTTTTGGGGCCCTAACTAAGGCATTGCTCAAGCGGCAGCGCAGGTAGTGCTCTAACGGCTGAGATATTCCCCTCGAAACTGGACCCCACGATCTTATTCGCATGGATTCATGACAGTTTCGCGCCAGGACACACGCTTTGCGCCATGAATCCATGCGAATTACGATCGCGGGGTCCAGTTTCGAGGGGAATATCTCAGGCCGTTAGAGCACTATCTGAGCTGCCAGTTGGGCAATGGCTTAGTTAGGGCCCCAAAATTACTATCCATGTGAGATCCCCGTGTGTCCAGACCTGCCTGGACGCTGCCTTTAAATGCTTCGGCTGATGGCCACGCTTTCGTTGAACTTCGCTGCATTTGACCTTTGACATGAGATTGTTGGAGTCAAATTTAAAGCAACATATTGTAGAAGTTCAAAACTTTAGAAATGGGTAAAAGCTTACAGTGAGATCACGTATTTTGGCCGAAGTCTCCAGATAACGACACTCACACTGGCTGAATCCTTTAATGGTCCAGACATGACTAAAAAGACAGCGATTAAGGTAAACCTAAGACTAATTCGAAATCTGTCTACCGGGCTTTGCCGATAGATGTCATCTGACATGCTGTTTAAAAAACAATAAACACGATAGCGCACTGGTAGATCACTACGTAATATATAACGAATTCGTGCTGACTCATCATTCCGCCGGATTATTGGTTCATGGCAAATGAGGAGGGCGCAGACGTAAAAATTATGATGAAATACACTGATCTTTGGAATTGGATTGCTGCCAAGTGGCATGCGTTTTGGAACGCTGCCAAATTTCAAAACGAGTGACCAAGCATATTTTCGTAAAAGGGTCACACATATTTCGAAAGGCAATGATGAGCGTCGCAATGATTTTGAGATGATTTTGAGACTGGATCGCCAGTGTCCGGATGTGTTATTTATACCTGCTTTTTTCTCAAGCTTGTTATCCTAGAATATGTCTTCTAAATATGTTGTACTCCTATTAGTTGCTTTTGAAACGATGCCAAATTGCGTAACAGCTTGACTTATGCTAAATTCATCTATGTTCTCAACTCACTCTTGGTAAAAATGCTCTAAGTAAGAACAGTCACTTTAGGATTATCTTGCTTCCGCGTGTAGACAAGAGAGCGCGTGAGTAACTTGGTCTCCTTGGTACTTTTGAAAGCATTTATCTAACAACATCCTTGCTTTGCTTGTGTGACTGGGTCCCGCTGGTGCTTTCAACTAGGTACCGGTGTGTAAGCGGCACGTAGGGGGCAATTCGATCGGACAGGGAAATAGATTTCTGTACGTTTGGGGAGTTCCTAGAATTTTTAAACGGTCTTCAAGCGGCACATAGGGCGTTATCGGTCTGTAAGCGGCACGTGGGGCAACTCGATCGGACAGGGAAATAGATTTTTGTACGTTTGAGGGAGTTCCTAGAATTTTGAAACGGTCTTCAAACGGCACATAGGGCGTTATCGGTCTGTAAGCGGCACGTAGGGCAACTCGATCGGACAGGGAAATAGATTTTTGTACGTTTGAGGGAGTTCCTAGAATTTTGAAACGGTCTTCAAGCGGCACATAGGGCATAAATTTCCTTTTTGAATAGTTATATCGGTCTGTAGGCGGCACGTAGGGCAACTCGATCGGGCAGGGAAATAGATTTCTGTACGTTTGGGGAGTTCCTAGAATTTTTAAACGGTCTTCAACCGGCACATAGGGCGTTATCGGTCTGTAAGCGGCACGTAGGGCAACTCGATCGGGCAGGGAAATAGATTTCTGTACGTTTGGGGAGTTCCTAGAATTTTTAAACGGTCTTCAAGCGGCACATAGGGCGTTATCGGTCTGTAAGCGGCACGTAGGGCCAACTCGATCGGGCAGGGAAATCGATTTCTGTACGTTTGGGGAGTTCTTAGAATTTTAAACGGTCTTCAAGCGGCACATAGGGCGTTATCGGTCTGTAAGCGGCACGTAGGGCAACTCGATCGGACAGGGAAATAGATTTCTGTACGTTTGGGGAGTTCCTAGAATTTTTAAACGGTCTTCAAGCGGCACATAGGGCGTTATCGGTCTGTAAGCGGCACGTAGGGCAACTCGATCGGGCAGGGAAATAGATTTCTGTACGTTTGGGGAGTTCCTAGAATTTTTAAACGGTCTTCAACCGGCACATAGGGCGTTATCGGTCTGTAAGCGGCACGTAGGGCAACTCGATCGGGCAGGGAAATAGATTTCTGTACGTTTGGGGAGTTCCTAGAATTTTTAAACGGTCTTCAAGCGGCACATAGGGCGTTATCGGTCTGTAAACGGCACGTAGGGCAACTCGATCGGGCAGGGAAATAGATTTCTGTACGTTTGGGGAGTTCCTAGAATTTTTAAACGGTCTTCAAGCGGCACATAGGGCGTTATCGGTCTTTAAGCGGCACGTAGGGCAACCCGATCGGGCAAAGAAACAGATTTTTGTGCGCTTGGGGCAGTTCTCAGAATTGAAAGTCCTAAAGTGACATGCACGGCAATTTGAAAATACGCTGTAAGTACTTGAATTCGTTGTTTTATTTTTGTTTGAGTTGTAGTTGGTTTTCGGTCTTCAAGCGGCACATAGGGCATGAATTTCCTTTTTGAATAGTTACTATCGGTCTGTAAGCGGCACGTAGGGAACTCGATCGGACAGGGAAATAGATTTTTATACATTTGGGGCAGTTAATATAATTTTTAAACGGTCAAGCGGCACGTAGGGCATGAACTGTTTTTCAGATAGATAGTATTGGTTTGTAAGCGGCCCGTAGGGCATTTGATCGGACAGGGAAACAAATTTTTTGTACGTTTGTGCAGTTCTTATGTGACGATCTTTAGGTGGATCAGTAGTCGTGCTTTTCGGGGAGTGATCTCTTTTTGTAGTAAAGCTTCATTTTCCTTTGGCGAAAAAATTGAAGGATTTTCTGACAAAGTTCTTGGACGATTGATTTCGTTGCTGTCGGAATTGATTCTGAGAGAAAAGTGTTTTTTGTAGTACATGTAATTGTTATGGGTGTATTTCTACTTCCAAAACTATAGGTGCGCTGCTACTTACTCAACGATCTTTTATGGAACTTGTTGAGAACTGGAAGAGCAAATTCTCTTTGAGAGGGTAGAAAAGTGGGGGGGGGGGGAGGTTATCTGAATGTCTCTAAGAGGAGGGAAATTTGCAGAAAGAGCGTGGTAAACAAGAGGAAAATAATATTTTACATGCATTGTTGTAGCGGGAATTTCGAGAAATGCTGAACGATTTGTGGAAAATATCGCTTCTTTGAGCAGTTCTCCTTTTGTAGAGTGCTTTTCGCAAAAAAGTTCTCAGAAAATGAGTAGGAAACTTAAGAGGTATTTATAGTCACAACTAAGCCCTTATAATGTATCTGCCCCGACCCACTTGCTAGCGACCCGTAGGGTCGCTAGTATATATATATATAAGTAGACGACTGATATAGATTACTTCAAATGTGCTCTGATTTTCGTCAAATTTTCACTCGTCTGTTAATGTAATGCCTTTCATCTTTGGATCATCTCAAAACAAGTAAGATTTCTTGATTTCAGAGTAAGGCCCGTATGCACTAACATTTTTGCGGCGAGGGGAGCGGCGTCCCCCGTTATGAAGGGACCGCGTGCGGACGCCGCTGCGGCTTTTTCATCATTGGGGACGCCGCTCCCCTCGCCGCAGGGATGTTAGTGCATGCGGCCCTAAGATGTTATCAGAACGGTAGTTATTAACGCCAAATCAAGTGATGGAATGTCCTAAGAAAGCTAGTCAAATCCCAAATAAAAGATGCTCATGAGGTACCCACATGGAGCTACGAGCGAGCGTGAACGAAACCAAAGTGCCTGCATCCTCCTGCTCCAGCGATGACAGATGCTCGACCTTCGACCTTCGAGCATCTGTCATCGCTGGAGCAGGAGGATGCAGGCACTTTAATTTCGCGGCCGCTTTGCTACGTCGAAGCATCTATCTTCGTACTGAGAGTTTGGACTGGACCTCATGCAGTATAAGCTCCCTACCGTTCGCCCAGTTTGGCAAGCTTGCTTCGGCTAACTGCGTATGTGCAATACTTATGCACAAATAAAATTGAAAAAACAAAATAGGGGATGATTGGGCCAAGTAATTCATTACTGCTGATCTTATTGTTCTACCCCCTAATTTCACGAGTACAAGGCGCTTTTTCTTTTTTTTGGTGCCAGCATCTCAGCCTCATCGCTATATTTCTGACTTTCGTTGCGTACCAGCGGCGTTCGATGCTCACCTGGGCGGAACACGCAAAGGCGCTCGTACACTGCGGAACTCCGCTTGTAGGAAAATGGTACGCTGCTGGTATGCCGGAAGTATGCGCCTTCGTTAGAGGACCGCAATTTCATCCGATTTTTGGTTACTGTACTGATTGCAGCATTAGCTGATTTGTAAAGTGCTATTCCGACAAATCTTACTAAGCCGAAATCAGCGCAAAAAAACCCCATTATTTCAATCGATGGGCTTCATTGATCGAAATAGGAGGATCATGCCCTCACAACACTCGGCTCAGGGCCCGGCAGGAAGTGGCATTTCAGAATTTTGAAAACGATATCCCCTTTGAAGCCAAAATTTCTTACACTTTTCCTTTGACCCTATTTTTGACCCCCGTAAGTCCCTGATAAACAGATATACACAAATAATAAGATGGGCGGCCTCAGCGCTTATTATAGTAGTACTAGCTGGCTTTCCTGGTCGAGCCCGGGTCATCGTTTGAGGGAATGGCCAAAAACCACACTTTGTCCTTCTACCTTCCCGTCCTTTTGGGCCATATTCTCCACCCCTTTTCTGCAGTATCAATACTGCACTGCAGCCCTCCCCCTTACCCTCCTGCACGAGCTTACCCCAGAAAGGCTTATTGGAGTGACTGCACCTTCTAATTTTAAGGTGGAAATGAACTTCACTGCATTGTTCACACCAAAATGTGCAAGCAGTTTGTTAGCGGCTGGTAAGTGTTCACTTTCCTTGCAAGGTGCCAAAAATCATTAAATCGATAGAACAATTCCACGAATTGCTTCGAAGGGTAGCTTAAAACCATCTACCGAGGCCGAAAAATATGTTTTCAAGGTTTAAGCTCAATGGGTTCATCCGCAAAGGAATCTATAAAAAAACATAGGGTCAAGATTTGCACAAACGTTGACGTTTATATATCTAGGATACTACTCATTTATTAGTCAGCTGCGAAACTTTACAATTTACAATAACCGATTGCGATTGGAGCGCGCTTTCCGAGGCCGATCATAACGAACCCTATTTGGGGCTGTATCGAAGCGGTGCCTTGGTAGTTTTGGAAGCGGCTTTGAATATATAGTAATACTCTCGACCTAGTCCACATTTATGTAAAGAAATCCGGGAAATTATGTGAAGGGAAGCAGGGAGCCACCCTAGGTTGCTCCCTGGTGGCGCGGGAGCCACCTAATTTCGAAAAACACTTACCATTTTTTAAATTCACATAAGTTCCTCATAATTCTTCATACCTTTTTTGTGCTCATGGTCCTCCAACTATACAGCAAATTTGGTGCCATACCGTTACTTGTGCATTGAAAACGAGCCTATTTTGTTATTTTCCTCTTACAAGAATTGCGATTTGAATTCCCGCCTGCGGGCAGGCTAGCGATCGGAGCACAGAATCTTCACATTGGAATCTAAGTTCACAGGACAGTAGCATCAACAAGGAATGATGAATAAAGAATGATATGTGCATTGTTTATCGGTAAACAAAGAGGAAGTCGTATTTTGGGGTCCGGGGCTCCGCCCAAAATACGACTTCCCGTTTGCTTTTTCGGGCCAAAAACGACATATAATACGAGCTTGTGAAAGCGCCACCCCCGCCGGGCCCTGACTCGGCTGAACTGTCAAATCAACTCAATAAGAAAAACAACTCAAATTTACTGCTGTCAAGTACCAAGAAATGTTCACAAGCTCCCTAAATGCTGAGACAGACGTACCATAGCGTCGTATCCCATGCGGGTACTGCTTGTGCTTACAGCGTGAAATAATGCGATGGGACGCCGCTCGCCGTCGGGTGGAGGACTATATGTCGCCGAAAAAGGGCGGTCCCCGCGGTCATGTGCGACAAATACGCACCCTTATATATGCGCGGACATGCGTTCCTGCAGGGAATCCGTGCGGGACTCTTCCAAATTCGGCGACATATAGTCCTCCACCCCTCGCCGTCCCAACGGTATGCCGCCGGTTCCTGGCTCGATTACCTTTGGCGCATTTGGCCTGTCATTTTTGAAAAAAAACCGTGCCTTGTACTCGTGAAACTAGGGTACTTACAGAAAAAAACAGTTGCTACAGACTCGTTCCGAATATTGCTTCAATCTAACGGCAGACAAGCGTTTGATGTCAAAAAAATGTGAATAAACGCTTTGGTTGCACAGAGAAGCAGCCGCTGTCAACCCTGTCACGATTATTAAATAATAAACCTGGTCTAACCCCAAAAAGCGACAGGACTCGGTAGAAATTTTGAAACTCGGATCAAATATAACTTTGAAGAAGAAGTGATTATAAACAATGACAAAATCAGACCTGTGGGTGACCGAACGGACTTCCGTGGTTGACCAGCTGTCCGCAGGTCGAAGAGGACCTGCGCAATCAGCCATGAAACTTGACTGCAATGATTACTTTTCAGTGTACCATAATTCGAGTTGAAGATTCACGATCGGATACAATGCGTATGAGTAAGTTTACTCGAGATAAAAAACTTTTCGTCATCTACAATTGGAATGAAAAGGTATTATCAACTTTGAGACTAAAGCATCGGAAACCGCTTTGCACACATTGTAAGAAGCTTACTTATTTGTTCAACGGTGCCAGGTGGCAATCAACCCGAGATCAGATAGAAAGTATAAGCGATGTTGAACAAGTTGCCACACCATCAAGCTTATTCTGACAAAGTCCGCAGAGCGGTTTCCAACAATTTCTAACATATAAAGAATCTAACATATAAAGAAACGTAAGCGCAATTCGAAAATCTGCAGATAGCGGAAACGCGTGGCGGTCCCGAAGCGCGCAGATGCAATCTGGCACCTTTAATCACATTCACTTGTAGATTTAAAAGAATGAAAAAAATAACACCATAAATGCCAACATTTCGTTCAGGGAGGTTACCTGACGGTTGTTGTACTCCAAGACAGATCACACTTCAGCATTGTCTGCGACTCAATAACAATAGCTGAAAGGTTTAAGAGCTGCAAAGCGGAAGAAGCATTTTAGCACTTTAAAAGATACCAGTGCTTCACCTCTGCTTCGCAGCGGCTCGCACTGGTCATCACGAAAAGTGTTAGAGTAAGCTTAGCTCTAATAGCTTGTTCATTCCAAAACTGTCTGAAGCGAGTGACCCCTTAAAATGAAACACTATCGCTATCAGATATCACATGCTCAAAGCATTGTAAGTCATTCCTCCCCGTGATTTCGTAACGGCCAAACTCCAAATAGCTTGAGATTAAGCGGGTTATTATAAGTCACGATGATCATTCAACCTCTGACTAAGAGACACGAACATGCTTTGCGTACGTTTAATTGACATTTCATGAGTGAGTTCTGACGCGCTTTGGTTATTTTACTACCAGATTCGTGGAATTACATGTTCGAGCTCTTCAAACAACGCGAGTTCGAACATGTCTTTCATGAATTCCCGATAGTAATTCACCAAAATGCGTTGAAACGCACTCATAAACTTGTTGATCAAACATACACAAAACGTGCTCGCGTCTCTTATCAGAGAATGAATGATATTGACTGTAGTTAGCGGCGAGCTAGAGCTCAATTAACAGAGCAAAAACAACAAGAACGAAAAATTAAAGTTAAGTTTGATGCAAGGAATGTCGGCGAAAGTGCTCGTATCGATTGGTGTCACGCTGACGGTGGAGTGTGTGGGAGAGTCCAAAGAGCGAGCACCTAGAGAACTTGAAGACCGATCATTGACTAGAATGCGGGTAGTTCATTCTATGTATAAGTCACACTCCGATACGTGGTAGGTTCTATGTGTACATAGATATCGTGCATCCCCCAGATATGCCATATGAACCATCAACGCTGCTATTCGATCGTTTTAACACGTTAACTCCAGCAAATTTAAGGCGCTTATTCAAAATTGATATGTTGGAATGATCAGACACCCATGTTGACGGTTCATATGGGTGCAGTTTTGGGGGATGCACCATAACTATGTCGAATCGAAAAGGTAGGAAGATTAACGTATGCCGATGTTGACAAAGATGTCCCACTCATGCGAAAATTACCACACATTTGATTGAAGATCAGCGCACATTTGCTCAGTTCTCAAAAACTGTCACCTGATTTTGGATATTCAGAAGCACAAGAAGAACAAGTGTGGCTATTGTGTACGCAGTGCGCATGTTCTTCCGAGTCTGTTGCTCAAGGATACAGGGACCAAGAATTAGATAATCCCAAATTTATCGAACTCGATTGATGTGAAAAAACCATAAAAAACGATAAAAGACAACCCCAATCTAACGTACTACACACGCCCAGCTAGTATCGGCCGGCTGGTTGGTTGTCAACGTCAGACAAGATCGTGTCGGGCTTGCGAAAACAAGCCCACGAACGGAGGCGAATGGGCAGCGATTCGAAAACAGAGCTTTTGTTTTTCAGTTATAAGCCGATCGATACTATGTGTAGGAGCACGAACATAATGCCTGTGATATTACAACTCCGAAGTTAATATGTTGATTCTGTGTTCTTCATATGAAAAACACGAAATTACCACATGACCGGAGCCATTTGGTAGGACATTTTCGAATTCAATGGGCTGCTCGGAAGTTTTCCGCTGCAGAATCCACAGATAATCAACTAAAAATTTTCTGGGTATGCAGGACACAGATAGGCTCCATCGCTATAGACAGATGGCACGAGAACGACCGTAAGAACGCGCTAGCATGAGTTGATAGCTCGCTCCATTGCTAATCAACTAACGCATCATCTTCACAACCGGAGCATGCTATCTCAAGTTCCCCTGCATGTTACTGTTTATCGAAAAACATGAAGTAATACACATGTGTTTTAGATCTTCCTAGAATATGTCTCGTAGTATTGACACATTCACGATGGAGCAGCAGTAAGTTGATGACGAAAGTATTTAACACGTTGACGACGTGTCGCGCAATGGTGTGCGACAGGCAGTCTGTCCCTGTGGACGATGTCGCGCAATGGTGCGCGATACCCTTAATATCAGTTCTAATGTGCACAATGGTTCCAATTTGTGTGCACATAATGAATTTGGGCTTAGAATTTCTTCATATTGGCCCCGCCTCTCTTTTGGCAAACTCCGCCCACTCCATTTGCCTTCTGCGAGAGACCTTTTTGTGCACAAAACGCAAAGAAGAGGTTGCATTGACTCCTGGAGCCTCAAGCAGCTTTGATCTTGGCCCCGCCCCTCGGCAGGAAGGCTTTGCCCCCTCAGTGGCAAGCCCCGCCCATTTTTCAAAAATGTCGGAATTTGAACGAATTCTTAGTTTTCAAGCAATTTCCAGCTTTTTTGAGGGCGGGCGGAGCGGAGCTGCCTCGTCCACTTGCTTGAAGGATATTCATCGACGACTGTCCCGATTCGTGCGTTTACACCCTTTTTGGAGTCTTTTCAGCTTGACAGTACGCTGCAGTGCGTTCGGACCTGATAGCTCGCAGCAACACTGGCCTTCACCTCTTTTGTTGAACCAAGCATTTTACATTGTTTTTCTTCTTAGTTTTTTGAATTCGACTTGGTCATTCGTTTTCCCTTTCTCTTACGTTCTCTCGATGTTCAAATATCCTACGTTCTACTTTGACGAATACTGAAAGTAGGGAGAAGATTTGTGCAGACACATTTCTAGAACTCCTCTCCCTTTTTACCTACCAAACATACTTATTCAAAATCGTGAACGATCACCCGGGAAAATATTAGGTAAAAGGGTGTGCTCTGTTCATAAGCAGTAGTGGCTATCACGGATTTTCCTTAGCTGAGACCACTCTAATGTCTATTCCAGCACTCCTACATGGTGTTCGTGATGTATGAGTGCTGAAGCAGTCGCTTTAGTGGTCTGTCCTAGGAAACATGTTAAATTATTACAAAACTTAAAGAAAACGTGCAATCCCAATCATAGTCATGTTTTCCAACACTGCAACTTCGAAGAAGGCTTATTTTTCTCTAAATTCGCTCGCGGCGATGGTCTCACATAGACTTAGAACGAGTGATTGCCTGGAATGAAAAATAAGAAGAAAAACGATGTGAAAGCTTGAATCGACGAAAGAAGTTAAAGACAAGTATGCTGCGAGCTACCAAGTTCCCGCGCGCCGCAGCGTATTGTCAAGCTGGAAAGGCTCCAAAAAGGCACGCCCACGGTGGTGTAAATGCACTAGTTGGGGCAGTCGTCGACGGATATCCTCTATTCGTGTTTTACGTATAGATGCATGCAAATATATAAACTTCCAGGAGTAAAAGTGCAGGGAACATCTCGTCCACAGGGACAGACTTGAAAAAAATGGCTCGTCGTCAACTGTTAATGAAGTACGGTCTGTCCAAGTCCTAATCAGACCAAAATTGGCATGGCAGGAGTCCTCGTCGCTAGCTTTTTGCGTCACGCCGTCACGCCTGCTTGTCTGCCCCCTCTTCAATCTCTTCGCTCTCCGACGATGCGCATAGGCAGCGCGAACCCCTAGCGCTGTGAGCGCGCAATCCACCCCAACGGATCGGCCTGATCCCGGTTGGGACAGACTGTAAATCGATGTCAACCGAGTGCTTCCTCTTCCGTAACAGCTACGCGTCTGCCGCGCAAGGGCCTAGCGCGGCAACCGGATCGATGGGATAGTTTTGAATGAGCAAGCTATACGCGCGCGAACGCGGCGCGAAGCCTCTGGGCTTGCGATTTGGCTGCTGGAAAAGGGAGCAGAAGGTTGACACGGACTGTACTGCTAAGTTGAACGATCGGGCGAGATCCGAGATGAGCTTGTCACCCAAATCTAGTCTAGCGAGGTCATACAACTTTTACTGACTGTTGAAGGAATTTGTCAATGTGTAGACTAATCGGATGTTGGACATGACTTCGCATATTCTTGTTGGCGCTATTCCACATAAATTGACCCAAAAAATGAAGATCGTGAATTTCGCTAAAACTTCGTCTATAGAGGTTATTTGGTACGCTGAACACGAATATGATGTTTATTTCGTGCGACAGCGCCATCCGGTGGAGTTACAGTAGGTTTACGGTAGGGGTCAAAATCACAAAACGGCGAATGTATCTTTCCCCTGTGCTTTGCTTAGGCAAAAGCCGCAGTAGAGTGTGTAGCGCGCGGCGGTGGTCATGTGTGCAAAGCTTCACGATCATCCAAATCGCTACACACCCGTTTCGGGATGAACTATGTTTTACACCCGTCACCGTGTATCTACCGTAACTCGATAAAATGACGCTACGGTTCAAAACCAATGTGATATTTGGCATCAGCGGGTCGAATAACCCCTCTGGGTCAAATTTCGGGCAAATCCGTGATTTTGACCCCTTACCGTAATCCTACCGTAACTCCACCGGATGGCGCTGTCGCACGAAATAAACATCATATTCGTGTTCAGCGTACCAAATAACCCCCCCTAGACGAAGTTTTAGCGAGATTCACGATTTTCATTTTTTGGGTCAACTTATGTGGAATAGTACAGTCGAGTAGATTTCCTGCTTAATATAGTGCCCTTGCAGACGCGACAACGCTGGGACGTCAGTAATTGCCTGACGAGTTCCCGAGCTAGTGTTTTCCAGTGTTTTCTTTGCTTATTCTATGCTTTTTCAGGTGATTCGTTGCTGATAAAGAAGAAAAGGGTAAGTTAGAGAGTAGTTTATGTTTTCCGAGAAGTTCTATCATCGCATATTCATAGATATCCACGTGGAAGCAGTTCGCGTCAGCTTCTTGTCTATTTTTTTGTCACTTCATGTCTCTTTCTTCTTGTGAGGTACTTCTTTGAACGCTAGTGGGTTTTTACGATTGACTTATTGTCTTTATCACATGAAGTACTTGATTGAAATGCTATTTCTTATGGAAGAAAGCCGAAGTTGCTGCAAGACAAGCCAACAGCGTTCAAAGAAACGCCTCACAAGAAGGAGAAGGAGAAAAAGTGACAGAAGAAAGACTAATGACAAAAAAATAGACAAGAAGCTGACGCGAAATGCTTCCACGTGGATATCTGTG